TTTGGAGCGTAAACCATGGGAAATTTTTTAAACTTTTCCCATTTTGTATGGTGAGTATCTTACCATTTTAGGAGGTGAAACTAATTAGAGACATAAGGGTAAGCTCCATGTGTCATTCTTTAATTGTTGGCCTTGTAGGGGTAAAGCAAAGACAGTGAGCTCCCCACTGAGCCTTTTCTTTTCCAGGGTAGAATTATGTTTTATCTTTATTTTTGTTAGTCTTTTATGATGTCTAGGAAGAGTGGGTGTTCTCAGTAGCTAAGCATCGTTATTTTGGTCAGTTGAAACTTGAAAAGTTATTTATGGATGATTCACTTATCTCTTATATATATATATATATATATATATATATATAAATATAAATATATATATATATATAAATATAATAGTATATGAAATTTATATAGAATAATATAAAAAGATGAGAAAAAAAATATAAACCTCATGTATATATATATAGAGTTTTATAGTTCTCATTCAACATGAGAATTGAAATTTTCCTACACACCTTTCGATTTCCGTGCTGGCATGGGTCCTACATATAATTTTTTCTAACATATGGGTCTCACATGTTTTTTATCTCTACAACATAAGATTTCAATTCTCATTCAACATGAGAATTATAAAACCCATATATATACATGGATTACATTTCTGCAGCTATTGTACGTACAACAATCAAATACTTGCAATATATATACTTGAAAGCATTAAATGCGGGAAATCATAACCATACAAAAGATGAAAGCATTAAATGTGGGGATTCTAACCATACACATGTCGTTGTTGTACGTAAAGCGACTGCAGAAATGATTTTACCTATATATATATATAGGAAAAACATTTTCTCATGTTGCATGAGAATTCAATTATCATATTGTAAACCTTCGATTTGCGTGCAAAGTTTTTATTTTTAATAAATGTGGGGTCCACCACTGGTTGAGTCGCAACATAAGAATTTAATTTTCATGCAACGTAAGAAAATCAAACCTCATATATATATGGAAATGTTTTTCTCATGTTACATGAGAAAGCTTATCTCATGTTACACATAGGAGTGTAAATGGGCTGGGCTGGGCTGGACTTTGACCATCCTGGCCCAAGCCTACGTCAAAAAAAATTTGGCCTATTTGACCTACTGGCCTATTAAAGGCTTTATTTGTAGGCCAAGCCCGACCCATTTTCAAAAATAAGAAAGCCTGACATGGCCTACAGGCCTTGCAAGCCTCCCACTATATATACTAAGCAAAAAAAAATTGTATAGAGCAAAGAAAGTTCCATTCATGCATGCACTAGTACTTCTCATATGAAAAAATGACAAACAAAAAAGAGTCAACATAATACCTCAGCTCTAAAATGTATATCATAGAAGAATAGAGTCAAAGAAATGGAAAAAATAAGAAAAATACAATTACTGGATGCTGAAATAAAGTCTACAAGAGAATGTCATTTATCTAAAAATATTTAAACCACCATCAAGACAAGGGAAAAAAGAGTATTATTGAAAGATCTTCATCAGTAACATCATAATCCAGCAAGGTACCCATTGCTCCATGGTATTAAGCTGCAACAGCATGTAAAATTTGGAGACATTAGACAAGTTTTCCTTTCATAAAATAAAATAGCACAAAAAGTAAGAGATATTGGTATTTGGCACTTTGTGTCTTTGTCATATAAAATAAATATTATTTTATTATTTTATTTTAATAAATTAAATAGGCCAGCCTACAAGGCTGTAGGTCGGGCTTGACAAAATTGGCCAATGACTTATTTATTAAAAAAGCTTTTTTATAAGCCTAAGCCTACTCTCTTTTTCTGAAAGGCTGGGCCTGGGCTGGGCTCAATGTAGGCCGGGCCGTAGGCTAGGGTGGGCCAGCCTAGTCCATTTACACCCCTAGTTACACATCCATCAAAATCCAAACCAATATTTTCTTTTTCTTTTTCTTTTTTCTTAGTTATGAAACCCACTTAATTATATTTTTATATAAAATAATATTATTTCATATAACATGAGAAAACATTGGCCATGAAAACATTAATCCCCTTTAATTGATGCAGTCATCTTCTAGATAAAGCCTTGAATGATTTCTTCAATACTTTGCTAAGGAGTAAGGGCCTATGGAAAACAGACAAGTGAAAGAAGCAAAATGGCAGTGTTGTGCACACAATTGGCCTTATTATATGTTTGTTTGGGAGATCATATTTTTAATTTCTTTTCTTTTTATAAATAAAATTTTAATTAAACATAATTTTATAAAAAAATTATTATAAAATAAATTTTTTATAATAATCAAAGAAAAAGATAAAAGTTAAAAAACGTGGAGAATTTTTTTTTAAGATGTATGTCACTTTTTTGGAGTCTTCGTTTATACTTTTATTCTAAACTTTTATTTATAAATTTATTATTTATCCTATAATAAATTATTTCATATCCCTCCTTTGAAAAGCCTAAGAATAATTTTTTAAATAGCTTTGACCTTTATTTTGTAATTTTTTTTAAGTTTAACTTAAAAAATATCTTTTAACTTTAAAGTTTTTTGCCAAATAGGGTTCAACAACTTAGGGACTGTTTGAATTTTATTTTTAAAAACAATTTTTAATTTTTAGAAAAAATATAAAAAAAAATATTTGATAAGATCTGTTTTGTAAAAATATTTTTAAAAATTATAATTATTTTTTAATTTTTAGAATCAAATTTAAAGAACAATAATATTTCAATTATTTTTATTTTATGTTTTGACTTTTAACTTATAAAACAAACAAACATAAAAAATATCTATTTTATTAATTATTTTATATAAAAAATTAAAAAAACAAAACAAAACACAATTAAACATGCACTTATTTTCTTGGATAAGCCTCTGTTCAACTGCTTCACATCACAGGTCTCAAGACCACCCACACCCATGATCAAAATTTCAGGTGGTGGAATTCAATGATTCTCATGAACCGATAAAAAATTTCTCATTTGAAAAGAGACAAGGGCAACATCAACTCGTGTCATAAGTGAACTCAACCTCAAACAATCATCCCAATTTCTTTTTTAACTTAGTTAGACACGGGTATGGCTCTTTTCATAGACACTGACATACAACTGAACACATATCCTTTACGTGCTTCCACTACGCCATCTCACTTGTGTGGATGAAATAATAAAAATTTCCTGCTACCAAATAACATATTTGGTATAAGATTTTTTTTTTCTTTTATTGTGTAAAAATGAGTTTCCTATGCAAAATTGAGAAAATGATTAGACTCTAATTTTATAGAAAATAATAACAATAATAATATTTACCATTTTTTTATATTTTGTCTTTGACCAAATATTTATACAGCTACAATTCATTTAGTGTTTTGTTTATATATAAACAAGAATAATAAATATCTTAGTGTTGAAAGAAGTCATTATTTGTAAGTTGAAATAAAATATTTTGTTTTAACTTATTTTCACCTAAAAATTTAATTTATGTTGATTCTATGCACTAAATATAAAATGAAGAAAAGTACACTACCACCTTGAACAAATAAACAGTAGAACAATATTCACTTTTAATTAAAAGTTGAATAAAATGGAGAAAAGCACAATCCCGTTCTTGAACAGACATACATTAAAACCATAACATTAATTTAAATTAGGCTTTAATACTTATTCCGTTGCTGCAGATGAAATTTTTTGCAGCAACATATATAAAGTCAGGATACGCATGTAAATCCTAATTCATTTTCTTAAATAAAAGGATTCACTTACCGATCTTAGCCTAAATATATTTGCTTTAAAAAATTTCATCTGCTGTCGCTGCAGAAGTGGCGAACCCTCTCTCTTGATATATATGTAGAGAGGTTTCAAGCACTTTTTATATTCATACAAAATTCTAATATAAATTTATTTTTTTTTCGAAATTCTTATATAACTCTTAACCCTTCCATATGTTTATCTTCTAACTAATTTTCATATTAAATAAAAATATTTTGTTCCACCATTTATTATTTCCTCACAAAAAAGGAAATACCGTAAAACGAAAAAACATGATGTTTTTTATCTGCTTTTCTTACATCTGTTTTTTTTCTTTTCCATTTATTACATTCTCGATCTCTATTCTTTTTTAATATTTTCCTATATAAATCACTAATTATTGTTTATACATGTACATATTAATCTAATTTTTATTCTTCCGTAAACATAATTACCAACGATAAAAAAAAATCACAACTCCGAGTTAGCCACCCCAATAATTAATGATTTTATATTAATTAAATAATTAATATTATTTATTTACTTAATCTATTTAAGCAACTTACATGTAAATATTAAACTATACATATAAACTTTTATAAGAAATTCACTAAGTAAATAAATAAAAAACCAAATTTTCTTATATATAATTATTAAATTTTAAATATGAATATTTACACTATAATTTAATTTATTTTATATTTATAAAAATATTTAGATAGAAAAAACTCTTTGCATTTTTTTATTGTTTTAAATTAAAATAAAATAATTCAAACGTATATAGATTTTTCTATAAAATCAAAATTTTAAAATTATATATATGAAATTCAAAATAATTTGTTATAACTCTAGAGTTATTTCTATATTGCACTAAAAAAAGTTATTTCTACAGATATTAATTTGGTGGTACATTTTTTACATATTTCTTTTAATTTTTTAATTTTTAGTATTAAAAAAAAAATCTTTGGTTTTGAAGAGTGGTTATTGTTGGGACCGCAACAGTAGTCCACGCGTGCTAAGGCAGTCACGTGCGAAGAGCAATGGTGTTTATATAAAGGCGTGAGACTCGGAAGATTAGTAGTGAAGCAAGCATTGACTACAGAGTGTTGTGTTGTAATTGTAGTTTATGCTTTCACACATACACTTGTTGTATCTGTTTTGTTTCGAATAGGATTTGGAGGGAGATTCTTTTGTATAAGAAGCATCACAGAAGCCTAGTGTCTGTGTGTGTGTGTGTGTGTGTGTGTTTGACTGTGTGAAAGTGAATATAACTAACCATTTACCTTACAACTAACAAATGGAAACACGCACTGAGGTAAGGCATTCAAAGTTTAAGAGGATTTGTGTGTTCTGTGGGAGTAGCCCTGGCAAGAAGAGTAGCTATCAAGATGCTGCCATTGAACTTGGAAACGAATTGGTACACTCTTCATGCCTTCCTTTCCTACATTATGCTTTTTCTTTGGCTCTGTTTTCTTCAATTCAGAGTACCCGTTTTTTTAGTTATTCAGTATTTGTGGTCTTCCTCAAAATGCCCAAGAGTTTTTTTTTTTTTTTTACTGCCACGTTTTCCATGTGTACGTGAGTTGAATGGATAAATCAGATGGAAAATGGTTAAACTTTATGGTATGATGTCTTGAATATTCTGCTTGGGTAAGGTCATTTTGTTCCTAACATGTTCATGGTCTTTGACTTTTTGCAAATCTAGATTCATGTTGATTCCCTTGAAACAATAACTTCTCTCTTGGTTGAGTTTGTGTCCACCATGTTTGCAATGCAAAATATTCTGTTTGTGTAAAAAATGCCCAAGAGTTTTTTTTTTTGGCTTGTGTTTACACATCTGTTACCTTTGGGTTCTCAGAGCTTGAAGTCCTTTGCTGAGTGAGCATTGAAGAAACATTTTCAGCGCTTTTTTTTTTTTTAATTTGTTTTTACTTATACCTCTTCAGTATTTGCATTTCAAACAGTTAAAAATGTACTCTCATGGGAGTGTTTTCAAGATGGGTCATTCATTATTCATGCTTTATTTTTATTTTTTGACATCACACACAATCATAGCCACCATTGTTTGCTTTTTGTTATTTAGTATTTCTAGGCTTGATTATATAATTGTTAATGATCTATGAAGGTCTCAAGGAACATCGATCTGGTGTATGGTGGGGGAAGCATTGGTCTAATGGGTTTAGTTTCACAAGCTGTTCATGATGGCGGTCGCCATGTCATTGGGTAACACTCTTTTTCTCTTTCCCTCACCGTTCTATTTTTTTTGTTCTTTTCATTTCTCTTTCTCTTTTTTCCCCCAAAGAACAAGAACTCAGAGTCAATGAGTAACCACCGTGCCTTTGTTGGACTTTTTCACCATTGACACTATATTTGTCATGTTATTGTCTCTTGCAGAGTTATTCCCAAGACGCTCATGCCTCGAGAGGTATGTCTGCTTCAGCCAGGAGAAAAGCTTGAGCCCTTTTATCTTTTCTTATTTTATTTGTTTTTCTTCATCAAGGGTCGAACTCAAATTTCGTTCTTTCATATTCTATTCATGTATTCAAGCTGGTTATATATCTTTCTTGTTCTATATCTTATTCGTTTTCAGTTAAGTTTTGCCTTCATTTCCCTCGGTTTCACAAACTTCTTGTCAGTTTCAAAACTTGGTATTTTATAGTTTTGTTGTTAAAAGTTGTTTCTTTTGGGCAATGCTTTTTGGTAGCCTTGTCCATGAATATACCACTAGAATATCTGCATCTTCTGTTTTTCTTTTGCAAATAAACCTTTATATATATTTTTTTTTTAAAAGTTAATCTCTTAGGTTATAATTTACAAGTTACTGTCTACTATATAGAACTAGGCTAAATGCTCTTTCTGTCTTTGAATTCCTTTGCTTTGATGTCCTTTTGCAGCTAACTGGTGAAACAGTGGGAGAAGTAAAGGCTGTAGCAGATATGCACCAAAGGAAGGCAGAGATGGCGAAGCATTCAGACGCCTTTATTGCCTTACCAGGTTAGTTTGCAAATACTTAGATACAGAGGCACACTTAACATAAAGTAGTAGTTGTGTAGAATCATGAGGTGCTTAAATCTTTCTAGTTATAGCGTGTGTCAATGACCATATCTCAGTGTTTGATTTTTTCGAGGATATTTAACAACAGAATGATTTTTGTCTAAAAAGGTTTTCTAACTTTTTAAAAGAATCCCGGAATTGTTACACTCAAGTATCTCTTGCCGACACAAGTTATGGTGGTTTTCTTTGCCAAACCTTTTTGGCTAAACATTGTTAAAATGTTTTTACCATGCCTAATTATGGATGTTGCTTGACAAGGTGTTAAATTAAATACTTGTGTGGATTATTTGAAGTCACAACACGTAAAGGATAATGTTGACTAGTCGTCCACTTAGTAAACATTGAGGCATTGAGAATACACAATTGGGTATTTTTTTGAAGAGTCTAAATCATCTTTTTGTGCCACTTTTATTCAATTTAATTGACACTGCTGCAAAACCAATTGCGTGAGGCTAACTCTTGAGTCCAAAACAACTTTCATGGCTTTCTTTGACACGTCCCAATGCTATGATGATTAGAGAGCAACCCTTCAAAGCTAGCTGATAATGATATTGACCTTACCTGAACCCTTAATATTTTGGACTAAAAATCTGCGGCTCTGAGCAACTGTGGTTCTGGTGCAGGCTGAATGCCATTTTTTCCTCTACTTTAGTTTGAACCGTGACGTGATTCTACCTAACTTACTTCCTTTGTTAGGGATGGGAAGTAAAGCAAAAGAACTTTCACAAGATAACGTTTCCAAGTAGCACCTGCACCTGACACAGAATAATCTTGACCCTTTTCAAAGACCTTTTTTATCTGATAGTTATCATCATCCTGAGTAAATTAATTGAGTGCTGAAAATTAGTGATAGAGAGAGAGGAGGCACGCCAAGACTAATTTGTCATTCACTTTAGCTCAGATCCCTCTTATGAAAGTGGATTCCCCAGGAGAGGGAGGCTGTGAAGACAAAATAGTATTTGAACAAGAATCTGATAGTACTAAATATTACATTCACCAAACATAGAGTAGTTAATTCTAAACGTGGGGATTAAAAGACACCACAGTCTTAAGTGAAAGAAAATAGTGAAACTTAATTTTCAATTAAATTTCTATTTCCCTTTCCTATAACCAGGGTGTGAGCCAGTATAAATAAAATTGTTCAATTTGACATCGTTTTTCTCATGTTCATCTCAACCATGGATGGCCTATCCTATGCTTGTGCATTCAATTTCTGAAGAAACTCATGCAAGTTACATGCAGGCGGTTATGGGACTCTAGAGGAGCTTCTTGAAGTCATAACCTGGGCCCAACTTCGCATTCATGACAAGCCGGTAATTGACTAGTTCCATTTTACCGGGAATATGTATTATTTATCAATTAATGTCCATTGAGTTACCTTGTACTTGCAGCCTAATCAGGCTTGACATTCCAAAATTGTAGGTGGGGTTAGTTAATGTTGATGGATACTTCAATTCCTTGTTGTCATTTATTGACAAAGCTGTGGAAGAGGGATTTATCAGTCCAAATGCCCGCCACATAATTGTATCAGCACCAACAGCAAAAGAATTAGTGAAGAAATTGGAGGTAACGGGTCCTTAGTAAAACTATATGCATTTGTTGTTTCTTGTTACAAAAAACAAATAAGCACATTTATGTTCAACAATAAGCACATTTATGTCATCAAGCTTTTCAAGTCAATTAATTGTATGTGTAATCAAGGTTCTTTTTTTTTTTTGGCAAAATTATGCACTTCTGTAATATGAAAGAAGAAAATTAAATATTTTTGTTTTTTAATTCACAGGATTATGTTCCCTGTCATGAGAGTGTTGCTTCCAAGTTGAGCTGGCAGATGGAACAGCAGCTTGCTTACCCTCAAGATTATGACATCTCAAGATAGCTGGGTTTACTTCATGCACACGGAAGATGAAACAATATAGAATTTTGGAGGTGGAAGAAGCTATTTTCGACTATCACTATTCTGTTTTTTTTTTTTTTTTTCCTTGTGTAAATTACTTGGATTGACCTGATTATGTAAAACTACTTTATTCCCTTGTGAAACTCTGATTTTCTTACAAGTTGTAAGTACTAAGTACCCGCCTCTGAACTTATTATTCAATGCCAACTAATTTTCACGTTTAATTGACCTTCAGAGTCATCCTCATCCCTTTTGTGTTATTTGGCTTGGATAAGTATCAAACACAGATGATAGAACCACTTATTTAAGATATAAACAAGATAACACAATACATGACTTGATGGGGGTAATGTATAGAACTATGGTCCAACTTAAATGTTGCAAGGTGCTAATAATTAAGAATGGAACCGATTATGAGACATTATGAGACACACATGTCCATGGCCTGTCTGAAGTAAATGGTTTTTGAGTTCAAAAGGTCTTGGAATGCCAGATAGCTAAAGACAACAGACAAGAGAATGATTCAACCAGCAAGCAATAAGGGGTAACCGGGGTCAATTCTTGAGTGGAAGTTCATGGAAAGCATGGATTGTATTCCTCAGCTCAGTTGGACTAAGAGACTCAAGTTTGTAGGGCCCTTTATCCCCCAGCGAACGGGACAGTGCCATGTGTTTCCAAGGGCAACATGGGATTCAAAGAAAAAAGTTAAAAGGGATCATGTTGCACATGCATCTGAAAACGATATGATGGCCATCTTTGGTCCCCGATCTCATCTAACAATTGCTAGTGGTTGAAAGAAGAACTTTGAGCAATTTGGGGCTATTGGTTTGATTTGAAGATATCTCCCGAAGCTTTGAGTGGTTGTGTAGTCATGAATTCTGATGTATTTATTCCTTTGAAATGATGTTGAAAGTTGAAACATGGGCTCGCATGTGTTCGAATCTCCCCAGTATCACATTTGGGAGGGATTTAAAATCTCAATCCTGGACCCGCCCTGAATCGGATCAGTTGCGAAGCAATGAACCGATTGGAATATTTCAAAAAAAAAAAAAAAAAGTTAACAGCTCCAATCAAGGTTAGATATATTCAGAAGTTCTTATTACTTGAATTAGCTTTAGAAAAAAAGATGCTTTCGTTACGCAACAGAAAATTATTGTATGGCGATTATCAAAAAAAAAAAACAAAAAAAATTATTGTATGGAATTAATTCACATTATAATTTATTTATTTTTCCTTTTGAGCATTCAAAGCTAAAATAAAAGAAGGTAAAAGTAGTCTAGAAGCACTTGAGGCTTAGAAAGAGATGGTCTTGAAGGAGACATAGGTCTTCATCTTCAAGCAAAGAGCAAAAAAAGGTGAGAAGGATAGGGTCAAGGGAAAAGCTTCTTTCTTTGTATCAGTCAACTTGTCTAAATTAAAGGGCCAGTATTGGCCATTGACTACAGTATAAACGGTTGACTGTGCATTATGCAATGCTAATTTTGGCAAACATCTACGTCTAGGACCACTACCTTGGGAAAGCACCTTTCAAGGAATATTTTATTGTTATGTTAGGTAACGCGGTTTGTATATTATAGTTTCAACATCTGTTTTCAGTTTTCTCAAGTTAAAAGGACATGCATTACATTGCCAAACCTCCGTTCTAATCGATTAACGACAACTTCTTAAACTTGTGTGTTGGATAAGGAACATTTCGATATTGAATGATCTTATTATGTGCATGTTTCACTATGTACAGAAATTAACGTTTGTTATGTACAAATGCAGTGGTCTTAATTATGTCAAGAATTATCCCCTTTTTTTGTCAGTCCTTTTAGTCATTTTCTTTTAACCGACAATGGCCTTTTTTTAATAAAAAGTTACATGTTGCCTTGTTTATCTTAATCATGACCACTGCGCTCTTCATAATATTTGTGCAGAAAAATGGTACCCGATGTGAAGACCAAGTTAAATGACATTAATCACCCCATATGCCTTGCCACTTTTGCTCTTCAAAATTGCAGATAAAGTTCTTAAAATCATCATGAGCCTGTGATTGGGTTTTTATTTTTCATTGAAAACTCGGAAAATCACCAACAATAATGTTAGTTGTACATAAATTTTGACTCACGTAGATAATAACATGAAAGGTGGATAACTTATGGCGAGAGAGAAAAAAGAAGAAGAAATCAATAAACTTCCTAATTTAATATATAAATATAAAAATTAAAATTTAAATATTGGTTCAAGTAATTAATGAACTTGAGCTGAACACGAGCTTGTTAAAAAAAATAACTCCCATGCCCCCTGCCAAATAAAAATAAATTGTCGAAAAAGCAACAAGGATTAAATAAATCAAACATACAAGGGAAAGAAAATGTATGTAGCCCTTATTCGAGAGCCCACATTAATATTTAAAAGTTTAGCCACTTTCAACGCCAAATTAAAATCTTGATCTCAATAAATTATATTATCACATTTCAAGATGTTCAACGTTAATTAACATCAATTAATCCAATTGTGTAGGATTGAAAAATGAAATTTTTAAATCAAAATAAATTAACTTCTTTCACATCGTAATATTTTCTTTCTTATTCTTTCCTTTCTTTTCTTTGCATTCCACGCATTTAATTACAAAGTAAATAAATAATGTTGGACTGTAGGTCTACAAGCCCATAATCAATCTAACAAAAGACCGCAGCTCGAATGGGCTGACATAAATTTGCCCTGCCCAGTTACTCATGAAAAAACAAAGTCATCCCGTTTATTTAGTCTGTCAATAACTTATGGATCAAGTCTTCCTCTTACTAACCCGTTTAGTTTACTCTGCTTGTTTCCTTGCTTTTCTGGAATTAATTTGTAGGCCCCAACCAAGTTGTAATATAAAAGATAAATTTTCTTATTCACAAAAATCATATGAAATAATATTTTCATTAACAACACATAAAATAATATTCATAGAGATCACATGAATTTTTTTTTAAATATTATTCTTAAAATTTCTTATTCACAAAGCATATATGGAAATTTCATTAAAAATTCTCAAACAGTTTTTTTAACAAAATCACAAAGATCCTTAAATAATGTTCATTACAACACATGAAATAACATTTTTATAAGTTTTTTATTTGTTCTTGGCAGTTTCCTAATCTTTTAGTGAGCATTCTTCTTATCTTTTTAATGTTTTAATCGATCATTTTTACCTTTTGCATAACTCAAATATCATTTTTTTGAAAAATAACTACTTGTTTTTAAATAAGTAATGACGAATTATACATGATAAGTGATAAATTTTGAGGTAAAGTAGAATCTATTCCAACAAATAACACACGCACATGAAAAAAAAACATATATATATATAATATGCACTTTATTTACTAATTTAATTTAATATTAATTTTAAATTTTAAATAATTATTTATTATTTGTTAAAACAACTTACAATTCTAATGCTGAGAACACTGCTAAGGATGTTTGGATCATCGATACAGGTTGTACTAACCATATCACCTTTGATAAGTCATTATTTTCTTCTTTCCAAGATATCAAACCTGTGTACATAAACCTTGGAGATGGATGGTTCAAGTCTGTTTGCATCTATATCTGGAACTATTCATCTATCACTTAAGCTCATTTTGACCAACGTCCTTTATGTCCCAGATTTCTGTGTTAATTTAATTTCTGTTTCAAAACTTCTCAGCTCTTTACCATGTTCCATCCTCTTTGACAAATATGAACACTCAGATTCCCAGATGATGATTGGTTTTGCTGAACAACGTAATGGATTGTACATAGTTACACCTTCGGAAAAAAACAAGCTTACTGATATTCGTGAAGGTGACAAGAACACACTGCAAGCAAACGTCACTTCTGCTTTCATTTGACCTTGTAATACTTCTAGGAAAAATAATGCAACTTTAAGCCATTAGGTTCTTTGAGCTGATAATTTATCTTCTTATGGAAAAGGAGGGTTGAGTTTTGTTGTATTTTAGATTTGGATTGTCAAAGAATGCAAATGACATTTTTAGTTCAGTTTTTATAGAGGTTTTATAATCATTTTTACATTTCTAAAATTTATTTTAAAGTTCTTGACATGAATTTATGAATGTTGACTCTGATAAATTGACAATAAATGTTGAAACCTCCATCTTGTCTGAACAAAACCCAGACTTTCGTCTATTTTACGGTAACCTTAAAATTGCAATTATAAGATTAGTATCACTTAAACAAACACGGGATTTTCAACAACATGAATGGTTTGAATAAGATATCGAACAAGGAGCAAATTTGGAACTAGAAGTAATGATTACACATGAAGAGATGATGAATATTATTGCATGAGAAACAAAATCAACCACGAAACTACAAAAGAAAAGCATGATGTGCATCCAATTTGATCTAGCAATTCGCAATCACCATTAATCAATGAGGCTATCTGTTGTAATTAATTTATTGGGTAAAGTTTGAGCCGTCGAATGACCACTCGTCTTCATTAACCGTCTCTGTAGTCCGGTCACTACACCAATAATCATTTTTTTTTTTAAAAAAATATATTCTGAAATGACCCATTAAATTAAATTGTTAAATTACGTTTCAAAATTTAAAATAAAACTGACTAAATTTCATCCAGTAAATATATTTTTAAGAAAAATATTCACAGCATGGTCATCGGTATATTATTATGCTTATTAATTTCATTATAATTTCTTTGTTTAGATAAATATACAAAATTGATCAATACAACAATACAATTTGTAAACAAATTATATTTTAAAATATAGTTACTTTATTATATCTCTATACTGCAGAGAAAATTTTTATTTAATTTTTTTTATTAAAAAAGTGTATAGCAAGTTTTGAAAACAGATAAAAAGGTTATTTTGAAAAAGTAAAGAAAGTAGTGGAGATTAAAATAATTAAATAAATAAATTGCAAACTTAAAATCTAAGTGACACAGGCTGAAAGGAATTTTAATGTCAAAATTTAAAATTTTATAGTAGGACATTTATGTGGAAATAAACAAAAAATCTGCTTATTTCATTCAATTAAAATAAACTATTCTCAAACCCCCAAAAACAAAAAAAAACAATTT